AAACCAGACAACGCCTCATCCTGCTAGGCCCCTGCAGATGTGACCTGGAAGCTGTCCTGTGCTGAGGTGGGTCATGTGCTGAGGAGCGGCACTACAAAGAGCTCGGGGTGAGCTGGGGGTGAGCTGGGGGGCCACCTGTGCAGGGCAGGGCCTCGGATGGGTAGCGTGTGCAAAGCAGCCTACCTGCCACACCTGCCCTGCTTTCCGCAGCCTGTCACCACGGGTTAACAGGATTGTAGGGTTTCCTATGAACTCCCCCACCTTCCAATTATCGTCCCTGGTTTTCCATTTCCTAATCCTCAAAAAAGAAAAAGAAAAAAAAAATCCTGCCTTGTTTAACAAGAACTCGGCAGGGTTTTGCAATCTGCTCCCTGGGGTGGTTCGATTGAAAGAACAACTGCCTGACCCACACACACACACACCCCCCACACCCCTGCCCAGTCTTGGCTGGAGGCTCTGTGTGTGTGTGTGTGTGTGTGTGTGTGTGTGTGTATGTGTAGGTGGAGACCACCTCCCTCTGGCCTTGGGGATTAGACACACAGGCTGCCCCCCCATCACCCAACCCCAGTCTGGACCACTGGGCGCATTAAACACAAGAGTCATCACTCCTCCATCTGGATAAAGGGCAGGAAAAAGCAAGGAGACTTTCAGTACAGACCAGCACGGCCAGCAATTCTTCAGTAACACAGCACTGAAAGAAAACACAGGATGCTGCGGGTCGTGGCCTGTGACAGAGAATCAAGGGCCCCTGGATGGGGTCAGGGATTAGAAGAAGGAGCCCAGTCCAAGGAGGAGGCTAATGCCACAGGAAAGCACACCTGGCAGACCCTCTGTCTTTCAAATGACTTACCTCCCCCCCTGCCCCACCCCCTCGGAAGCTGTCACCGAAGGGCCCAAAATGGCCATTCACGGCTCAGAGAGAAAGGAGCATAATTTCAATTAAGGTCCCAGGCTGTCAAAAACATCAAGTTATTAATCTCCTTGTGGCAAATGTGAACCGGGACCTGCTTACACAGCCAATTGAGCATGCTCTAAATTAGTATTTGCAGGTAATTGATTCAGCTGCCAGCCCCATGCCAGCCGGTTACAAGCTGGTTACGCCACTAACATTAAATAATACGAGGCGGTAAAATGGACTGCCTGATTGGGCCTGCAGTCAGATGCTGTTAGCGCCCGATTTACCCAAACATTAATGTCTTATTGGTTTAACACAATTTACTACACCTCAATTGTGGAAAATGATTTTCGCTTCCACTGAAATCTTGCTCACAGGCAAAGCACAAAGGAGGAGGCGTCTTCACAGATGCCAGCAGCTCCCTTTTCTTTTTAACCTGTCCTCAAGATTTTATAACAAACCTTTGACAATAAAAAAAGAAAATGATGAGGCTTGGAATTGGGTCTCCAGTCTCTTGAATCTGAATACCAGGGCTGGGTGGTGTGACCTTCGAGAAAATGAGCTGTAGCATCACTATCCACAAACCCCTCCTCCCTGACCTGGCCCCTAGCCCTGAACATGCAGGGGCCCTACCTTCTGGCCCTGCGTCCCTCTGTGGGACTGGTGCTGGCAATGATCCAGCAGGTTCTAGGGCACCCCTTTTAGCCTGGGGTTCTGGTTGTCTTGAACCTGCCAGGCATCAGTCAGCCTGTGTGAAAATGGCCACACTTCCCGGGCAACCAGCACCTGCCTTGGGTGAGAGCTGAAATTCTTAACCTAGTTTCGAAAAGAATTCCAAAGCTCACAGTGGTGTGGAGGAGAACAGAAAAATAGCTCAGGACATTTTGTCCTCTCTCATTCATCTATCTCAGCAGCCCACACTTGCTTCCTGACACCAACTGTGGGGCAGACTCTGTGGATAAATGAGACGGGCCTCCAGGCTCTCAAGGACGCGGGCACCCACTGTCCCAGTGCCACCTGGCGATGACAGAGAGGGTGCCCAGGCAGAGAAGCCGGCCCACCTCACCACTGAGATGTCCCCAGGGGCTCAGACTGACATTGGCAGTCGGGGGTGCCCTCCTCAAATCTGGCCAGGGATAGCCCAAGATGTGACAATGTCCTAGAACAACAACCTTCCTCCATCTTTGGGGGGGAGGTGACACCCTCCCATCCTCAAAGGTCACTCTACCCACCTGTCCTTCAGAAACAGGCTCTATCTCTGCCTCAGCCTTTCCCTGGAGAAGCCCCCAACTCCATCCCCACCTTCTGACCTGGGAGCCTCCCTGTTCTCACTCTGGGACCCACAGATCTTCTGGTTCCCCTGCCGGACTGAGGCCTGCAAGGGCAGGCACAGCTTCCGGTCCATGTCTCCTCTGGCCAGCTCAGGGTGGGCACACGTGTAGCAGGCACCACAGGGTGCCAGCCCCAGGCTCCTGATGCCAAGGAGGCAGCAGTGGGGCCAACCAGGGATAGTGGGGCTGGGGGCGGGGGGAGGTGGAACAAACTCTGAAAAGGAAGTTTTAGACCGATATGAACTAGATATTGGCGGTGTTAAGGAATTACTGTTAATTTGGCTAGATTTGATACTGACCTGCTGGGGTGTAAATAAAAAAAAATCTCTGAGAGACCTACCGGTGAAAAAAATTAAGCAAAAAGCCCTGGGGGGGACTCTGAAGTTCATTATACTACTCTACCTTTGTGTGTGTGTGTGTGTGTGTGTTGGGGGTTGTGAGTACTTGAAATCTCCCATTTAAAGGAGAAAAAAGACCTCTGTGAGGATCTGAAAAGTATCCCAAGGCCCTGGCCTGACCCAGCACTCAGCAAGGTCAGGCTCTGGTTCAGGCTCCCCCCAGGCCCAGGAGCCCCTTCAAGCTGGACTCCCTGCAGCTCAGGCCACTAGGCTGCCGGCCTGCAGTAAAGGACGGGGTTCCACACAGGGCCAGCTAGTCCTGCTCCAATTTCTGGGTTATTTTTATTTGAGGCATCAGCTACGGGTCACTATAGGCCACCTCAGCTGGGACAGGGATTCTGGGACAGTGCTAATCTGAGGAACCCACTGCCTAGTCCATCTTCCAGGGAGCTCGCAGAACTCTTCCTGATCTTGATCTGGGGGTGCAGGTGGGGAAGGGCAGGGGTCCTGAGAACACCAGAGCAGACACAATACTTCGTAAGAGACCACATAGAGGTAAAACCTGGGATGGCTTGGCCCATGCTCGCCGCCCTCCTCCGAGTGACAGCCAGGTCCGCGATGAAGCCCCTGTCCATGCCCTCTTCCGGAAGCCACTGCGGCCAGGCCTTCAGAGCCATGCTCACCTCTTACTGCTCAGGGCAGGAAGAGAAATACAGGGGGTCCCTGTTCAGGATGGCTTTCAGGGTATGACTGTGAAAATGCCACATTCTCATGATCATAAATGCCCACTGCCAGCCCCATCTGCTCCCCCGACCCCTACCACTAGCGTGGACAGACCAGAAAAGTTGGGAGGGGGCCTCGGAGACAGAGCAGGCCTTGGGGTACCAGGCAGACTTGGGCCTTACAAGGTGGAGAAGAGGCTGTAGCGCCAAGTTCTTACAAGGCCAGGCAGGAAAGGGCTGCCTGGGTCGGGGTGACGGTAAAAGAAAAACTCTGTTCTGTACTCACACTTCTGACACCGGACCGGGGGTTCCCAAACCCAGCAATTCTCCAGATCTCTGTGGACACCCACTGGTGTCCAGAGTTTAATCCTGACACGAACCACCAGAGTCAGTGCAGACACCACAGGTTAAGGGTTCAGCCCCACAAGCCTGATCCCTTCAGACGCCCCACTACAGGCCTCCTATCCTTCTGGCTGGTCAGCTATAAATCAGAGGTTCCCACGACCCCCACCTCGGGTTTAATAATTTGCTAGAATGGCTCACAGAACTAAAAAGATTGCTTTAGTCATATTACTACTTGATTGTGAAGGACAAGACTCAGGAAGAGTCAAATGGAGAGAAGGGACGGGGTCAGAAGCCCTTCTCAGGCTGGCCACCCTCCCTGTGCCTCGACTCCACCTCTCAGAAGCTCCCCGGACCCTTCAGTGTTTGACGAGGGGTCTGGGGAGGTTTACGGGAGGTCCCAATAAAGCAGGCATGGCTGACTGACTCGCTGGTCAGAATTCCAGTTCCAGCCCCCTCCTCTCCCAGGAAGCAGGCAGGACTGCAGGCTCCACACCTCAAATCCCACAGTTGGTTCCTCCAGCAACCGCTCCCGCCCTCACGAGTCCCTTCACAAGCATAAACTCAGGTGTGGTGAGAAGAAATTCGTTATGAATAAAACAGTCACTCCCCTCGCTCTTTCCGGAAGCTCTGGGCCAGGAAATTGCAACAGAGACCAAATATGTCTTATCATATCCCAGGCAGAGAAATGGCAGCCTCCTCGGTGTTCCCTCCCCACAGGAAGTTCTAAGTAGTGAAGTTTCAGGTGGGAGATGGTGGATTGGGGGTCTCCTGCCCCAGGACCTGAGTGGGAGAGCCCTCTGGGGCAGTTTGGGTCTGACCCCTGGGTCCTGAAGCAGGCTCAGCAGCTGGCCAGGTCACACCCAGAATAGCTGGGCAACCCCGGGAAGCACCCCGGGTGGCCGAGCTCTCAGCAGGCCTAATTGGAGCCGAAGGCCAATGGTGCTTCCAATGGAGCTTTATGAGCCACTTAACCATCCTTCGACCCAGTCATCCAAGCACAGCAGACATAATGGCAGTGTTTACACATAAAAATGGCAAGCTGTTTTACTAGCGGCTTTCAGAGTCACAATAGCAGCTATTTGGTAAAGTTTCCTGCAAATTGCAGAAACAAGGTCCAAGAGTGGAATGATGGGGCACTAAACCACCCCGAAAAGTAATCAAGGACCATTACCATCAAACACTCTGCCAAGAGCCAGGGAAGTGACCACAGTCAGGAGAAAAATCCTCTGCCCACAGTCCGGAAGCCCTGCTCATAATCCCCACTCCATCTCCGGGTGCCGCGGCGGTGCCTCATCTGTTACCAGCTCGGGGAACATAAATTACTGTTTTCTACATTTTAATCTTCATCCAGAGAAACACAGCAGCTTACCTTTCCATCTCATATTCTTTCATTCCCACTTTTACGGCCTTCATTACCTGCAGGATGGATATTAAGCAAAGGCATTTGTATTAAAGAGATAAGTAACACTCCCTTATAAATAATGTACGGCACTTTCCCAAAGAATGTTATTAAAAAAAAAAAAGGAATGATACGTACATACAGTGGTGCAGAAATGTGACAAATTAGAACATGTTTAACGCTCCAAAGCCATCCAGTTTATTTAAGCCACTCTGGGGCACTTCTACTCAGGAGGAGATAAACAGCCAGCACCAAGCAACAGCCGGCCAGGCAGAAAAGATTACCCAAGAAATGGGTGCATACTTCATGCTAGGACAACGGTGATGACCATCCCATAAAGGTTCCCATGCCTCACTTTCATAAAACACAGAAAATAAGCTCATCCAAGAGGCTCTGCTGCCCACCAAGGACCCCCGTATGTTCCTGGCACAGAGTTGTGACTGTCACTGGGCCACCCCAGTCACCTGAACCTGCTTTCATATTTGCTCTCATGCCTCCGCTAACAGGGGAAGGTTTGGGAAAGAACCCGTGTGAGGACTTTTTCAGAAAAAAAGAGTGACAGTAATAAATGTGCTTGAACAGTGGGTAAGGACAAGACTCCTTCAAAGGAGCTTAAGAGGATGCCAGAAAGCACAGCCCTACTGGGCTTCTTGCTAGGAATTCCCTGCGGGTGGGTGTTTCAAGGTGAGGGACAGGGGCAGGACGTCTGCTGTCCTTGGCTGTCCTGTCTCTGGCCTGCAGCGAAGCTCCTGTCTGCTTGCGCTGTGCTGGGGACCAGGGCCGCCCCGGCCAGCCGGCCATCTGGACACTGCTCTGGCCCCGCACACAGCTGGCTGCTTCCCCCGCCCCACCCTCCCCACCCACAAGGGCACATCCATGAGCCCAGGCTGGCTTACCTCCTTGTGGGCCTCACTGGAGATTTTATTGGTGTAGCGCAAAACCTCCAGCTCCATGTCCGTCTTAAAGACCCGGCTTCAAAGAGGAGAAAACACAAAGTGGCAAGTCAGAGACTTCTGGCAGGAGCTGGGGACCCCTCCCAGGAATCCCTAGGGCCACCACGCCCTGCGCAGCTGGGGAAGGAACTCGGCCAGGTAGTGCCCAGCCAGACCATAGAAGCCCATAGTTAATGCCCAACCCCTGCCTAATGCCAGTGCTGGGCAGCCAGGCTGCTTCTAGCTACGCGATCTGGAATCCCAGATTCTAAGACTCAGTTTCCTCACCCATAGAATGGGGGTGATATCTACATGGCAAGGCTGTTGGAGCTGAATCTTCAGCACACTCTCCCACAGCTCTGCCCAGTTGGCTGTCTCCCATTTCTTCCTTCCCCCCTCCCATCTGCCCATGGGGAAACAGGGGGTTGGGAGGGGAGGGGGACTGGGATGCAGCCCCCCCAGTCCTATGTGAGGAAGAGCGTGTGGAGCCAGTCAGTCCACAGAGAAGTAGGAGGCTAGAGCAGATGAGAGGAAAGAGACAGCAATGAGAAAGAGGGTCTTGTGTGGGGCAGATGGGTACAATGGACCCTCGACTGTGCCTCCTGCAACTGGACTCTAGGGGGTTCCTGGGGTCCTCACAATGAACTCACATTAATTTGTCCTAGGCTAGTTAGGTCTCTTTGCTTTGCAACCAATTTGATCTCCAAGTAAGACTCACACAGAGGAGCTAAATAGATTCTCCCTCCACCCATTTCAACCAGCAGCTCCATGTCACGGGCATGTAAGTGGCAGCCACGGCCTCATATCATGAGTGTGGAGTCCACAGTGGCCCCTCAAGACCAGCTCTGTTCCCTTTACTGAAGGGGACCCACCTTTGCCAAAGCTCCCACAGGATCATCTCCTTCCCACAAAGAAGGAGACACCCAGCACCTCTGGACCAGCACAGCCTGCAGAGCGGAGACAGACCTGCCGGCCCACAGGGCACCTCCTGTGAGCGCCCACCCTGCGCTGGTCTCAGCCAGGGCAGCTGGAGGGCAGGGAAGGTGTGCCCACCTCCATCAGAGGCAGCGAACCCTGGAACCCTCACAGCTACACAGAAGCAGCGCAAGCTGGTCACCGACTCCATCAATGCCACGGTCCCCCGGCTGGGACAGCAGCCATTTGTCATCAGGAAACAAGGAAGGGCATCTGCAGCGCAGGGACACCTTTCTCAGACTGCAAAACCTTCTAGAGAATGTGGAAAAAACAAACCCCTGAGCTCAGTGAGACTTTGTCCAAATGAACATGCTTTTCTGAGGAGGCAGCCCACACACCTGAGAGTTTGCTCTTTATTATCACAAAGGTGCCTCTGATTCTGCATCCGGGTGCTGGGAGCCACCCCACCTGGAGAACAGGAAGCTTACTCCTGGCCCGGGGTTGAGGGTCCAGAGCCAAGGGCAGCACTCAGAAGAGCAGCTCAGAATCCAGAATCTTGGTGCACAGCTGCCTACTGCTGCCTGCAGGGTACAGGACGCCAAGCAGAGAGCGGGCCCTGTTCTGAAAGGCAGTGCAGCTAAACCTGTGCGCCTCCCTCCTCTTTTCCAGCCTAGATCCTGGTCTTGCCACCATTCTGGTCAACATTTTAGCTCTCCCAACACTGTGAGCCCCCCTCTCATCAATGTGTAGGATAAGACTCCCAGGCTACCAAGCTCAGAGGTATCCCATGTCCTCCACAAAGTGACCTCTGCTTCCTCTGGACTCCCTATGCTGCTTCTCTTCCTCTGTCTCCCTGACAGGTGCTCCCCTCCCTGTGCCTCTTAACCTCACCTCTGCACCTGCTCCCAACCCCCCTCCCACCTTGTCTCTGCAGGTCCCTGGGCACCGCAGCTCAGCATGACAAACTCACCCATCCATATGACCCTACTTCAAGCCACAACTCTGCATCCCTCAGCCCTTAAGAGATGCAGCAGCATCCCAGCCGCCCCTCTCTGGTCACTCCTATATCCCATCAATGGTCAGGAGCTGTTATTCCACCTCTTCAAGCTCCCTCAGACCCTTATTCTCCACCTGGACCCCACTCTCTCTAGCCTGGACAATCTCCCCTGCTTCACAGCATGCCTCTTGCCTCTGGGCACACCTTGGGCATGCTATCAGGCCGAGGAGAAGGGAGACATGGCACCCACACCACAATCTCTTCCCATCAGAGACCACAGCACTGCCAGCCATGGAGGCCCAAAGGCCTGCTTTCTTTTCTACTTTTACCTTGGGAACAAATGAGGCCTCTAGCTGGTTTACTTAGGCCTCTTTTAAAAGTCATAATAAAAAAATCAAACTGAACCAGGACAAATTATCCTACAAAGGCAACTCTCTGAAACTGGCCTGGCTGGGCTTTGCCCTGGCCCCAATTTCATCCGAGCTTTAAAGGCCCTGAAATAGATGTCTGCCGTGCGCCGGCTTACACCATTATCCATGTCTGCTCTGGCCCTGAAGTCTCACTGGCGCCAGGCGTCCCAGCCTGGTCCAGTTATCTCCATGATATAAGCACCAGAAACTATTTTCACAATTACTACAGGAATAATAAGACCTTCTGGCACTCTGCACCATTTCTCCCGAATATTCCGGAAGATTCGCTGCCCTGAATCAGATGAGGCTATTTCCATTACTCCTGAGCATGAAAAGGCAAAGAAAAGGGGATTCCACCCGGGTCCAGCCTCTGTAGGCCCAGCAGTCTCTGGGGTGAGGGGTACGTAGTGTCACATTCAGCCCTAGCTTGGCTGAGGATGTGTGTGGTGGTGGGGAGAGATACAATCTGGAGGGTTTCTATCTCCAGGCGAGGGTGAAGCCCATCTCCTACATGAGGCAACAGAGGGCCCAGCTCGGGGCAGGACAACACCAACCAAGCCTCCAAGCCGTGTGGGCAGCAGGCAGCCCAAGCTCTTCCCCCAGCAAGAGGAGATGCCTGGTGTGTGCAGGGGGCCCTGTTTGTGACCAGGGCCCTTTGGCTGGTGAGGGGGCTGCTCACACAGAAAGGCAGCACCACAGGCAGGGAAGGGGAGAGGGTGGGACAAAAGCTCTCCCCATGCCAGGCCAGAGTCTCCTGCTACAGGTGGGAACAATAAACATTGGACTAGGCTGAGATTTATTTGTGCAATCATGTTTTTTTCTCCTTAACTATACACAGGTCACAAAGCTGCCTCTGGGCATGAAACCCAGGATTAAGGCATCAATTAACTAAGGGTCCCAGTGCCCCACTGATGAAAACTGTGGCAAGACAGGATGAGGTATTTCCGAAATCAGTTTCTAAGTATCAAAATGCCACAGTGTTGAACAAAACCCATTTGAAGGGCAGGAATTCCATCTCTCTTGGAGATGAATGGGCAGGAAAGGTTCTGGGAGGGGGGGCAGATGGGTGGGAATTCAACACCATAGGACCCATCCACGGTACTGTGCCCCGTGACCCCATGATGCAGAGGATAAAATCCTAGAACAGGAGGGACAGAAAGGAAAGAGTTGGTTGGAATTACAGGTCCTCGGGCAGCGCAATCAATAAGTCCTCTCAAAGAAACCAGAGCCAGGAAGAATATGTTGGTTCAGCTGGCTGTGAGCTGAGTGTCCCTGAGATGTGACACGGCAGACATGCCGCGTGTACACGAATGGTCCTCGAGACACCCGACCAGGACCGGGCGAGGCTGCCCTTGGCCAGTGCTCCAACCCACGTCTCACCCCTGCCTGCAGGAGTACGGTCCCCCAAGTTCTCACTCCACCTGGGGATGCCCATTCTCCACTCAGCTTTCCTGGTGACTTAGGGTTAAAGGCCTAGTCATCAGGAGACAAAGACAGCAACGCCACGGGAATACTTTCCACGTCCACACCAAGAATCTAGGTCATCATGTACATCCCTTTTCTAATTTGGGACATTTTGCCCAGGATGTAGGATCCTGGTGGATGTCTGCCCCCGAACCATCCTCAGCTCGGCAGCTCCTGTGCACAGAAAGGCAGGGGAGCAGAAATAGATATACTACCCCGCTGCCTGATGAATACATGCAGGACACCTTCACTCTGTGTAATTAACAATTCTAAAACCGGCATATGACTCAATTGAACACAGTCTCACTTAAAACCCAAGAAGGCGCGTGGCAATTGCTGACATGCTTGCTTTTCTGTGACGCTTCCAGGGGTACTTAACTGAAATCCCCGGTGCAGAGCTATTAGGCAGTACAAAAGTATCTCCTTTTATTTCCTACCCAACCTTCAGATCAATTTAATCATCTGCAGAACAAGGAAGCAGAACCACAGCCTAAATTATGGAAGTGAGACGCTTGCTCTTATTAAGTTTCAACTTTTGACCTCTATATTCAAACGGCAATACCCAGCACAAGGAAAGAAATTATCAGTTATGATCTCATGTTTGTGGGGAAGAGTATGATTATAGAGGAATTTACAGGAAATCAAAAAGGCAGTGCTTGAGAGAATGGAAAACAATAAAGCAGTCAGAGAGGAAATGAATGACACCCCAACAGAAATGAGAAAGGAAGCTGGAGAGGCCCTGTGCTGGAGAGGCTGCTTGTTGCCTCCCACTCAGACAGACTCCGGGAGGAATCCCAAGCCCCAGTCCAGCTGCCACCAGGGGGCTGGGGTGTGTGTGTGGATGGGGGCGGTGTAGGGGGCATGCAGCTGGAGGGAGTTTAGCTGTATCACCCCTACCTCCCCCTGGCCCCCACTATGCCCTGGCCTCTCACAAGATCCATTCCAGAGGTCTGGGAGCACTGCTCCAAGTCCAATGGCCCAGTGTGAGCTAAGAGCTAAGATGAGCACGGCAGCCTCCCCTTCCCTCCAGGGAGCTTCTCGGAACCTCAAGGGCAATGCAAGGCCTGGGCTCAGCTCCTGGCTTTATCTTGGGAAAGTCACTATTCTCTCTGCCTCAGTTTCCTCATTTTGGCCCAGGATCATCAGAGCACCTTCCCTATAATGTATGATAAAATACCTCTTCAAATAGGGCTACAACATCAAGGGCCTAGCACAGCACGTTGCACAGAGAAGTCTCGAAACACCGTGATTGTCATATGTTAGCACATGACCGCTGCACTCACTCAGTCCTGAGCCCCCATCAAGGGAGGCTGCTTGTACTTCACAGGGGAGGAAACTGAGGCTCTGCCCAATAAACTGAGTATTCGTGTCCCTCCAAAATGTCTATGCTGATGCCTAGTCTCCAGTGGGAGGGTGTTGGGAGGGAGGGGTCTCTGGAGAGTGATCTGTTCATCAATCCAGAGCTCCCGTGAATACTGCCCTTATGAAAGAGACCCCAGAAAGCTCCCTGGCCCCTCTGCTTCGTGAGGATAAGGTGAGAAGATGGCCGTCTACAGGCCAGGAAGTGAGTCCTCACCAGGCACCAACCGACCAGCACATGCACATCCTGGTCTTGGGCTTCTCAGCCTCCAGAACTGAGAGAGAGGAGTTTCCATGTAAGCCCCGAAGTCTACGGTCTTTGGTTATGTCAGCCTGAATGGCCTAGGACACCAGGTGAAACTTCACATCCACACTAAGCGTTAGTTATTAACGTCCCCATGCAGATGAAGCTGGAGTGCAGGAAAGGAAAGTGGGTTCCCGGGGGTCAGAATTAGGATATGTCTGAGTGGATGGTTTTTCTGTTACCCTAGACAGCTTCTCTCCACGGGGCTTAGAGAGAAGGAGGGTGGGAAAACCAAGTAGGACAAAGAACCCCCAAGATGCCTGAGAGGGTCGTAACTGAGGGTCATGGGAAGCCCATGCTCACTCGGCAGACAAAAGAGTTGCCCGCCACCCCACCCAGAATCCTTCCTCCAGGTACTGAGGGGATGATCATGGCATCCCGGGCTCTCCAAGAACCATGCAGTCAGTCACCTTGGGGCCTGGACCTGCACTATTAAAACACACACCTGAGGCAGTAAGGACAATGTGACATTTCTAAAACAGTTCTACTGCCATTAAATGCCAAATAAGTCCTTTCTGCTGCTTGCTTTAATAAAGTTGGGAAGTATTCTTATGAACGCAGAATCCACCTCAGAGCTTGGAAATGTCACTGGAATTAAAGTGTGCTTGTTCCAAAGTGACAGGCTAACGACTTAGTCCCTAGGAGAGGCCTGCGCATGACCCCCGAACTGTAAGCAGCCACGAGGGACTGTCACTTGTGGAGTGTACATGGAAGTGAGCCCTTTCCTGAGGAGCCAGGATTTATTTCTCTGCCAAATGGGGGTACAGGTGGGTCAGGCATTTGTTACTCTATAAGGACAAGGACAGGCGGCTGTGAACAGGAAGGTTATCGGGCCCCACCCTCAGAGTGCATGTGTGGCCCTGGAGGGTACTGGGCTGCTGTCAGAGCTCTCCACTGTGAGTACCTGCCCTCCATGTTCCCAGGGTAAGGGCTTCATCTCCAGCCCAGCCCTCTGTCCTACTGGCATACTCTTCAAACTCAATATACTCCCCAAAAGTCCCTGATCTGCCACCACACCTTTCCCTCCCAGGCAACCCCATCTTGGTGACATGTCACCCAGCTGCTCTGAACAAAAATTTGGAGGCATCTTCAGCTCTCCCCTGATGCAGGGGTCATAGCTGGTTCTTCCCCTTGACCCCTCAACTGTCACACCACATGCCCACTGCTGCCTGGACCATACAACAGCCTATAACTGGCAACTTGACTCCACTCTTGTCCCACATCTGAGTCTCTAGTCTGAGGCCAAAACGACTCTTTAAAATGCACACCTGAGCCTTCTGATCTCCTTGAAAGGGTTTCTTTGGTTCCCATGTCTCTCCAGACAAAATCCAAGCTGAACCATAGCCCCTGCCCATCTCTCCACACCCACAGGCACCACATGTGTGTCTACACTGCCCACACAAGGCCACTGCCCTTTCTCCTGTCTCTTGCCTTTGACCAACGCTCAGCCTGGACCGCTTGCTCCATCACCCCCACTCTCTGCTTCCCCACCTCACCTGCCAACTCCTACTCATCCTGCCCCCAGTCCAGGTGAGCTACATGGTCCACACAGACAGGGAAACAAGATCACACAGCCTTAGGACCAAACTAAGGAGCCCACACACCTGCCCCTCAGGTGCTTATGTGGCCCTACCTCATCTCCTGCATTCAGAACAAGTGTAGCTACACAACAAAGAAGAACATTCTGGGTCTTCAGAGCAGCTCAGTAGCTCAGAAAGAAGTGGTGGCAGTCAGTGCTGGCCCACTTCCAGGGCCCAAAGAGGTGCTGCCGACCTGAGAAGGCCAACCCTGTGGGGACCCAATAGTAGCCAGTCTTGTTGCAGGCAGGCCCCACCATGCCACCCAGGGAGGACAGCGGGTAACACAGGAACACATGGGATGGCATGCCAACAAGCCAGGCCCATGCGTGACATGGGGCAGCCATGTTTGCCTTCCTGGTAATAGGACGATGTGTGACATTTATGTTTACTATGTTCACTATCTACTTAAACTGAGCTACATCAGTTTGGCTTATTTGCCGTGGGAGTTTTTAAGACTGAAAATAAAATATAAGAGAAATTTAATTGAGATTTAAGCAATCTGAGTTGAGAAAACAAGCCATGCAGCAAACAGACAAAGAAGAGGCTGCAAGAAGAGGTTCTGAGATCAGCTTGTTTGGGGCTCTCCAAGGTGGAGTGAGTGGGGACAGCACCGTTTCTCACTGTCTTGAGCTGGACAGGACTATCAACCAAGGTGGCTGTAGGCCATACTCACCACTCCACGATGTCCGGGTGAAGAATGGTGTTGTTGACATTGAATCTATAGAAAGAAAAGAAATCAAGCCCATTAGTCCAATGGTCCATATCTCCCAGCAAGAACTATCATATTCAAGACATATACACCATGACCAAGAGATCACCCCAAACATGAACTTCATGACTCCTGGGCCTAGACAGGCCTGCTATTCATTTTCTGCAGCAGACCTAGCAGTAGCCCAAGTCACATCCTCTAAGTGTAGTTGGCTGGAGGATAAGTTGTCTGGCTGCAAAACTCAACCAAGAATAGCCATCTTCTACCTTTGCAGGCAGAGAACATAGCCTATTCCATCAAGTATACCAACAGGGAGTCTAAGAAGGAAAGAAGAAAGAAAGGATCAGAGAGAGTATTGGGAAAAATTATGGCTAAACTTTGCCAACTTGATGAAAGACACCTAGACACATTACAGTCAAGCTGCCAACAGACCAAGAGAGAATTAGAAAGCAGCAAGAAAAAAAGCAACTCATCACACACAAGGGATCCTCAGTAAAAACAGCCTGTTCCTCATCAGGAGCTGTAGAGGCCAGAAGGTGAGACACATTCAAAGTGCTGAAAGAAAAAACATCAACCGAGATTCTATATCCAGCAATGCTATGCCTTATAAGTGAAGGGGGAATTAAAACAGTCCCAAATAGGGCCTCCCCGGTGGCGCAGCGGTTGAGCGCTGGGTTGCGAAGCTGCCCGCGGCCTCTGCGGCGCCGGTTCGATCCCCGGCTGCTCCCCAGCCACCAGAGGAGGGTCCCACATGGCGCGCAGACCTCTCCTGCCGCCCGCTGCTCCCCTCAGCAGTGTACTTCGGTCCTTCTGCCTGCTCTGCTTCCCGATCTGGCTCTGGTGAATTCTCTCACCCTCCCGTGCTTCTGACTGTACCCAGTGCATGTATAAACAAACAAACAAACAAATAAAGAAAGAAAGAAATAAAACATGCCTCTATTAAAAAAAAAAAAAAAAAAATCTTTAAAAAAAAAAAAAAAAAAAAAAAAAAACAGTCCCAAATAAACAAATGAGAGAATTCACTGCTTCAACATATGAAAATCAACAATGAAGTAATATATCATATTAATACAACATAGGACAAAAATACATGGAGGCAGAAAAAGCATCTTTTTTTGACCAAAATACTCAGTAAACTAGGAAGAGAAGGGAGTGTCTTCAACCTGATAAAGGGAGCCACAAAAGACCCACAGCTAATATCATATTTAATCATGCTTAATGACCAAAGACAAAAAGCTCTCCCATAAGATGAAGAACAAGAATGTTGCTCCATTTCTATTCAACAATGTACTGGAGGGTCTAGCCAGGGCAATTAGGCAAGAAAAAGAAACAAAAAAAGTCCAGATTGGAGAGAATGAAGTTAAACTATCTGTATTTGCAAAAGACATGATCTTGCAGATCATTTAAAAATGGGCAAAGGATTTGAATGGACATTTCTCCTAAGGAGATAGACAGTGACAGATGAACACAAAAAAAGATGCTCAACACCACTAGCCATCAGCAAAATGCAAATAAAACACTAAGATTCCACTTAACAGTCATTTTCATAGCTCTAATGAAAAACACAGACAGTAACAAGCTTTGGTGGAAGACATGGAGAAACTGGAACCTTCATACGCTATTAGAAGGAATAGAAATGGTCTGTGATTTGGTGTGATTTGGAAAATAGCTGATAGTTCCTCAAAAATAAAAACACAATGAAATACCAGGAATTTCATTCTCAGGTATATATCCAAGGGAACTGAAGCTTATGTTCACACAAAGACTCAGCAGTATTATTCATCACAGCCAAAAGGTGAGAGCAACCCACGCAAGCATTGAGTGATGACTGTACAAACATATCGCTCTCTATGTCCATAGACCAGAATATTTTTCAGCCATAAAAATAAGCAAAGTGGGCCTCCCCTGGTGGCGCAGGCAGTTGAACGCAGCGCTGTGAAGCTGTCCACAGCCTCTGCAATGCTGGTTCGATTCCAGCCAGCCGATGAGAATCCCACATGGTGCAGCAGACCTCTCCTGTCTCGCCCGCTGCTCCTCTCAGCAGTGTATTTTGTCAGTCTGCCTGTTCTGCTCCCCACTCTGTCTCTGGTGAATCCTCTCACCCTCCCGCACATCTGGCCTGTACCCCGGTTCTTGTATAAATAAAGAAAGAAATCTTTAAAGATATATATTAAAAAAAAATGAGCAAAGCACTGATTCACACTACAACATGGATAAACTCCGAAGACATGGCAAGCAAAAGAAGTCAGACACAAAAGGCCAACATGCCATGATTCCATTTACATCTGATGCTGGAGAGACAGAAAGTAGGTCAGTGCTTGCCAGGGAAGTGGGAAATTACTGTATTTAATGGGTACACGGCTTCCTTCTGGGTGATGAAAATATTAGAAAATTGATTGCGTCGACACAAATATGTAAATATACAAAAGCCATTTAACTGCACACTTTAAATGGGTCAACTGTAAGGTATCTGAATTATGCCCCAGTAAAGCCGTTTTTAAAAACTTAATGAATTATGCACATAGTGGATTGCACTACATGTAAATTTCATATAACAAAGTTGATTTGTAAAAACTGGCAGAACAAAAGGGAGAAATAGACAAACTCACAAGCATTGTTTGAGATTTTCTAAATTTCTTTATGGTGAGAGAACAAATAAGGAAAGAAATGGAAAGATAATAGGCGATATAAATAATCTAATTAATTAACTAGATAATGCCCATATACAGGACACTATAGTATAGCAGGAATGCTGAACCCCTGCTCTCTTCACATATACAAGAAACACTGATCAGAATGATGGTATTTTGGATGCTTCACCAAATTGCAAAAGACCTAAGAACAAGAGAATGTTCATTGATTACAGCAGTATTAAACAAGAAAGCGGTAACAAAAGAAAACTATAAAACCCCAAATGGTTTGGAAATTAAGCAACAGACTTCTAAAAACCAACTGTTCAAAGAAGAAACAATGAAATTAGGAAATAAAAAGACATGCAATGTCCTAATGGGTGACATGCAGCTAAAACAGTACTTAGAGAAAAATGTATGGCTCTAAATGTATACAGCAAAAAAGGAGAAAAAAACAACACAACACTGAAAATCAGCATCTAATCGCCCATCCCAAGAATGACCCTTTCTTCTTCCTCAAGAAACTAGAGAAAGAAAAAAACAAAAAAAACACCTGAAAAAATTAGAAAGCAATTAAGCAGCACAGAAATAAAAGGCAGACACACAACACAGAAAAATCTACACGGTCAAATATTGTTCTGTGATAAGATTAGCAGAATTGCAAAGGGGTCCCCAAGAGACAAAAGGGTCAGGGTGGGCCACAACCCTGATGTGATGCACTCTGATACATGGGACCCAGAGGCCAAGCTCTCAGGGAGGCAGCTGGGGATGCCCATGTGGCCCAGCATGAAGTGACAGGCCTCAGCAGAGAGGCCTGGGCAAGCCCCCGCCCCCGGGGCCCTGAGTCCTGCTCCTGCTTCATCTGAGGTCAGGACGTCACACATGGGGCACACGGACCTGCCACCAACGAGGGGTTGTCTGGGCCTAACAAGGCCCAGACTGCTGTCTGCAAGCACCTCTCTACTGCTGGGACTGTGCGGCTGGCACCCCACTCTTGGCTGAAGGAGGGTCAGAAGAGGTGACAGAAGGGGGTATTCGTAGGCTGAGAAGATTCCAGATCTCCAAAGCTTTCAGGATTCTTAACAACACAAGTAAGACATTACTTCAAAGTCAACCGAAATGCAGAATCAAAGCCCTACTCTGCAATATCAAAGAGACCACAGGCAACCAGTGTGGCTGGGAGGGGGAGCAGCGCGGCGGATGACATAAATCAAGATGACAGCATGGGTTCTGCCTCCCATCTCGCCAAATGTCACTCTGACGTTGGGAACGGCAATGGCCTATCGACTCATCAGCCACATACGCCAGTGAGACTTCACTCGGCAAAACGTTGATGTGTGTCCGCACATGCACAAACGAGCGCAAAGTGCCACAGAACACGGACACTGGGGGGTGCGCTCAGGAAGGCGGCGTGTGTAGACACACGGGTGTGCATGCAACAAACACACCCGGTCACAGAGACACAGGTGGACACAGACACACCGACACAAAGCCCAGCTAGCACATGCACTCAAGGCCACACAGACACACAAACTCACACTATGCACTTGACTGTTTTCTATGGTCAGCCTGTATGAACTGTGTGAAAGCAACAACTAACGCCTGGACTGTGAAAGGGGGGTGTCCTGGAAGCAGTTCCCCAGTGGGCTCCCTCTGGGAGCTGGGTGGAGTTGAGTGTGGGCCCAGCACTCTGTCCCAACCCTCCAGACTCCTCCCTGCAGTTTCTAACCCAAGGAAGGAGGCCAGGCCTGTGTGGAAGACAGGCCTGTGTGGAAGTGTTCCCCACTCCTCCCCTGCTAGGGGCTGGGGTGGGTTCTGGTCTTTCTGGGGTGCCTCCCCTCATGGATGCACCTAGGCCATCATCAGAAGCCCAGTCCTAAATATTAACCCGATACAGAAGTTAACAGTGCTCTTCAAGTTTTAATAATGTCCCTCTACTTCCCAGGTTTTAAAATTCACATCTCTGAATATTAATATTCCCGCATTAATAAGCCCCAAATTCAGCAATTTCATATTTAACTGCTTATTTAAATGGAATTAATTTGTAACCAATTGTCTTCAAATATGCAAGGCAATTTAAGTAAATGCCAGAAGATAAGAAATATGCTTATCCTGAATAACCAGCTGATGTAAAATCCTGGCCATATTTCTCTCTCAGACAATGGCCTGAAACACAGACACAGTCAGCTGAACTGTCTCATGCCAGGAAGCTCCCCTCCCCCCATCTTGATGGATGGGCAACCTTCAGCTGAGGCTACCTAGCCCCCCAGAGACCATCTCTCTCCCTTCATACTCTGTCTCCCTCCCAGGAAAATTTGCTTTAAAGTCGACCTCCTCAGATGCTAACAAAGATTTATCATGTCTGATTTTGCTCCCAAGCTGCAGGAACCAACTGCTCTAGGCAGAAGCCCCAAGTCCTCAGCTGAGGCCTCTCGACCACAGCCAGCCTCTCCTTTCAGCCTCAGCCCACGCCCATCCCCGGCCATGGCCTCAACAGGACCTGGCAATGCGCCCACAGCAGGGCTGCTAGTTCCCTGCCTCCCGAGGAGGTGTCCCCAACTAGCCAAACCTGGAGAGGTGGCCTAGCCAGGCACTAAACTCAGCATAAGGCTAGGCACAGCCTTTACCCCCATCATAATCTATGCCCCTGCGGAACACACAGGAGTTCAAGGCCATGATGAGCCCCCAGGGCACATCTACCATCCCCGGCCCTGTCTCTGCCTCCCCACCCCCTCTGTTCCTGGTCTTCTACTATCCCCACCATCTCAAGACCTGACACACTCCCTGCAGGCGGCAGGAGGCAGCTTGGCCCTGATCAGGGAAGGCTGAGGGAAGAGTGCGGTCTCTCAGGACCAAAGCCTCAGCCCCACCAAGATGGCAGGCCTGAGAGAGTCAACCCCAAGGAGCTGTATTGGGTGAGAAGGTCACAGGGGGCAGCCAGCTAGACTGGGGCTCAGGGGCCTGGGATCTGGATCTCAGGGAGGCCGCCATTCTACCACAAGCTCCCTCCTTCCCCAGACCCTGGGATAAAGGTGGCCTGAGATGAGCCATCAGGACAAACGAGAAGTTAAACCCGAGCCTCTACCAAAGTAGGAGGTCAAACATCCAAAATGGAAGCGATGCAAAGAAGTTCAAAGGGGCGGGGACTAGCAGGAGTAAAGTGCTCCATCAGGGCGGTGAGGAGCAGTTGAGCACTGGCAAGTAGGACGACAGCGAGATTCATCTTGCTTAGGAAACAGGCTATTATTATCCCTGGCAAACAGCTGGAGACGCGCATGTCGGGCAAGGGAACGCATGGCTGAGCCGCAGCCCCTGAGGACAGGCCCTCCTCCGCCCCGCCCAGGGGCCAGGAGGTGGCACAGTCCGGGGCTGGCAGCTGGGGGGAGAGGGAAGCAAGGGATTGAGCTGCACCAAGACCCCAGGAATATAGTCAAGACTTTCCAAAGAGAAGGTGCCGGTGGGCAGCTGGAGGAGAGGCCAGGGCCGGAAGTCAGGATCCCGGTGTGTTGGGTAGCACCCAATGGAGCGACCTCTGAGGGCACAGCTACTCTGCGGGTGCCACTCTGGGATGGCAGAGGGAGGCATATGGGGCCCCAAAGCAGAGGGACACCTGGGAGGGCTCTCACCACCCCTGTCGAAGTCAGTCTGAAAACAGTGGGGGAGGAAACAGCACTCCCCACCAGTGTTGGGCAGGTTATCTGTGCAGCAGCGTGGGGTCTGGACAGCACCCCGGTCAGCCCAACTCCCTGGACCCTGAGGTGGGAGAGGGACAGGGGCAATGCCTGGCAGAGCACCTCCCAAAGCCAGCTGCTGCGCTGGGGGTAGCAGAGCATGGGTTCCTCTGGGTTCCTGGCAGGGAAGGAGGGTCACTCAGGGAGTCACAGGCAGAGGCTGGGGTATGCTACTGGAGGCAGAGGTTGGGTTCGAGTGGGGCTCCGGCAAGAAGTGGAGGATGGGGCTGAGGCCTCAACTTCCCCTGCCCACTGACAGAGCTGATGTCCCGGGCCCACCTCTCTCCAGAAAGCCTTGGGGAGCAGCCAGCAGAGCTGTTCTCAGGGCCCACGTCCTGAAACCACACCCCCACATCACATGAGTTCCTAAGATGCTGAGGTGGAGTTGTCTGCAGCGAACACTCTGGAGGGGACAAGCATAGAGGCCAGAGCGCACTGCCCTCTGGGAACCTTGTAGTCAGCCATCTTAAAGTCCATCTGGCCCAAAGACAGATGGGGAAACCGAGGCTGGAGGAGCAAGGGGCTTGACAGGGGTTCGCTTGAGGACAGCTGCTTCCCGAGCCATGCCAGTCTCAGGCTAAAGCGGGCTCTTGTTTTGTCCCCCTGACACGTTCAAGCAGCAGCACACTGCCTGTGGGGAGGCGAGGCTCAGAGGGCACGTTCTGCTCAGGTCACAGGCCCCGTCAGTGCGGAGGCCACCAGGGCCCACTCCTCTGGGCTCAGGCCCTCCCCAGGACAGAGACCCAAGCAGAGGCAAGGGCTCAACAGCCGGCAGGATGGGAGAGATGGTTCGTGGTGGAGGAGGCGAGTTGGCACGAGAGCCCAAGGCAGGCAGAAATAGGCGGCACCCCACACACCCGCAACAGGGGCCTGGGGTTTAGGGGGCTAGAGTGGCTCCATGGCTGGCATTTCCCTGAGCTGGGCTAATTACTGTGGGCATGGGAGGGTGGGCGGCATGGCTGCTCTGGGGAACTCCCAAGAGGATGCGGAGACTTGAGCAATGAAACAAGCAAATCTGATACCCGCTCCCCCTGCCCCATCACTCTTATCTTTGGGGGAACTGATACATATTTATGAGCTCATAATCCTTCCTAATCACCCCTACATCACACACACACACAAATTCCCGTGGCTCAGCTCATACATAATTATAAGGCACTTCCTCTGTCACTGCCTGGGCCCACCAGAGGACAACAGAGGACGCAGTGGCAGAGTCTGTGTGGTGGGGGAGGGCCCGGGCAGGGAGGCAGGGACAGGAGGCCCGGAACAGTCCTCGCCCAGCAGAGGCACAGATGCCTTCCCTTGAGGTCTCACCCCTGCAGCCTCAGGGCAGCAATGTAGGCCCCGCAGAGCCCCCGGGGGCCACAGCAGCCAGCCCAGGGACACAGGCACAGCTGGCAGGCAGCACTCATGGGGACACTGGAGAGTGACAAGCAAAGCGTGGTGCTTAGCTCCCGCACCTGACATTTGTCCTCCTGCCTAGAGGGGGGTCTTCAGGATTCAGCCTGGGGGGTGAGGGCAGGTAAGAGGCCCCTACCTGGGACTGGACAGCAGGGGACACAGGGGAGACTGGTGGCTAGGAGTGAGAGTTTGGGGAGGGGGTCAATGAGAACATGGTTCTATCAGTAAACAGCACCCCACCCATGCCTCAGGGTGGCAGGACTCTCTGCTACTCTGCCCACCTGCACTTGCACTCTGGAGCCCCCCAGAGAGTGGCAACCAGTCCCAAAAGTAAAAGGGGAAGTGATTTTAAGCAAAATTTTTCTCTAAGCATTTCTTCGCAAGGCTCAATCTAACTCGTCTGCAGCATCCTCCTGTTTATGGATTTTAGTCCAGTCTGTGGACTGGGCGGGACTGGTGGTGAAGAAGTGAGGGGTACAGAAGCCAGGGCCCCAGGACTCACTTGCTGATGCCCTCGAAGGATGCCTCCCGGCAGATGCTGCCACTGTCGGTGTTGACGCCACGCTGGGGAGAGAGAGGGAGTGTGAGGGCACAGACATATCACCCAGGTGTCCCCACAGCCTGCAAGGGCGGAACTCCCACCCAGGCCGGACCAACCCATCCTGTCCTGCCTTTGGGAACTGCCAGATGCCCTGCTCAAGGTCCCTCCTTCTCGGGGACCTACACAGCGTGGGTGCACATGGCCTGAGCCAGCACGCTCTGCCCACACGGCCCGGGTTGTTCAGGTGCTGGCTGGAGTGAGCCCAACCCACCAATCTGCTCTCCCAGGCTCGCCCCACCTCTCAGGCAGGTGGGGTGCATATGCTCCTCTGACAGCATCAAATCCAGCTCTGCCAGAGAGGCAGCCAATTCAGCAGGTCAGGCCATTTTCCGGCACCAGGATACGGTGTCACCTTCCTCTCCCTGACTGTAAGGAGACTCCAAGTGCAACTCAGATAGGAGCGGAGACAAAACAAGGAATTCAAGACAAAGGTGCCATCCCCAGCGAGGCAAGCATCTTAAATGGCCACTTTTTCCACAAGAACTCTGGGAGGGCGCCTAATTGCATCCCCCAAACAGAACGCACAGGGCCATCTTTGACCACAGTCATCTACTACTGTAACCTTTCTTCTCAGCCACCAAAACAGCACAGTGGAAAACAGACCATGTGAAGTGCTAAAAAAAATAACCAAGAAAATCTATTTCCGTACAAATTGATTAGCAAAGGAGAGAAGGGCCACTCCGGGAGGGAAGAGGATGGAATACTCTTAGGGTTTGAAATGGCCCAAGGTCACGGGAGTTCAAAAAGGCATGCTTTGCCCTGAGCCATTTCACAGCCCAGGGGTCCCCTCATCCCGCTAGGCACCAGAGGCCACCAGGCGCCACCCCCACCCCCACCCGGCTGTGGCAAGTCCTCTGTCAGACAAGCAGCTCACAGGCAGACGCCCAGGGCATGTTTCTCAAATTCTATTAACAATGGCGCAGACACAGGATGACAGCAAATTGAGAGCCTACACCCACAAATTCCATGCTCTCAGCCTGGCACAAATGCATACTCCAGCCAGGTTTTAGCCCTGGGGGAGGGTATGGCATACACAGCAGCCTTGAGCTAGGACACGGCACATCCCAGGGGGTCGGAGAATTGAAGAGGTGGTCCTGGATGTGCGGGCCGTTCCGACTGAGGAGTCGCCACTTATCACAATGACCACCCCTCTCGGTTTCCCAGTCCAACCCTACTGCCCCGAGCTTTGCAGGGGTGAGGGCTCCCTAAAATCCCTCCCTTTTGCCCAAACACTGCCCTGTCGCTGGACACCAGCCACTTACCAAAGTGAGGAGGACGGAGGGTTTCCTCGATGTCAGGATACTGGCGATCTGAAGGGCCAGAAAGAAAAACCCACGTTAGCGCAACCACTGCAGTCTGAAGGAGACTTACACCACTACTTAGCGATGACGGCTCATATTTCTAGAGCGAGTCCCTAAAGCAGCTGGCACCATGGCTGTCCCCATCCTGCAGATGAGGAAACTGAGGCTTACAAATAAGGGACCTCTGAAGCAACACGGCTGGCAAGCAAAAGATGCAAACCTAAACCTGGCCCACTTCCCCAAATGTCCTGCCTCCAGGCCCACACGGCACCTGGGCTCAGAACAACCACCCACCAAGGCCAGTACCTCTGTTCAACTGCTAAATCCACCTGAAAACCCTCTTAGGTGCTGACCCCACCAGCCTCCTATGACTGGGGCAAACACCTTCCATGCCCCCCTAGATGTCGTGGAGTTAGCCATTCCCCACCTCACCCCAGGTCCATGTTCTCCATCCCTCCACTCCAGTCTCATACACCTGAGCACTGCCTGCTCCCTATCCCAAGCCCCAGAATGAGCATGCTGGAATGCCTTCTCCCCATCTTAGCCACTTCATCAACTTGGATGAGGCCCCTGCCCCACAGCCCCAGCAGGTTCCTTCATCCCACCTCTACTGCCCACGACAGCCATCACTTCTGGCAAGGTGCCCATCACCCTGCATTAGCTGTGACAGCTGCAACCCAAAGATGCAACCTCCCTGTGGAAATACCTTTCTCTCCTCCTGGCCCTGCCCCTGCATCTTGGCTACCACAGCCCCCACTGTATTTGAGCCCCCGCAACCGTCCAGCCTAAACTCTCTGACACCCTGATGGAGTAGGGAGGGTTTGTTGTTGTTTTAACAGCTTATTGAGCTATTGCCAACACACTGCGCTGTATGAATTAAAGTGCACGTTTTGATAAGTTTTGACATGTGTATGTATATGCTTTTTAATACCAAGAGGCTCCCAGAGAAAACCTGGAATGCACTGAAAACTATAAAAAGATAAAATACACCTACAGCCCCATCCCCAGAGACTTCTCATCTCTGCACATAAAAACAGAAATGCAAAGTGACATTTGGATCATATGAAGTTACACGCTTCACTTATTTCCTGTCATTAAATATTCTTCAAACACGCAATTTTTACCAGTCAGTACTGCTGGGGTTGGTAAACACCCAGCAAGGCCCTGATTATGGCTTGTGCCAATCACTTCGGCATCACCTCATCTAACCATCCGTGGAGCTGGTGCTGCGAACGTCCAGCTTCCACACATGAGAAAGGCTCAGGGTTAGAGATTCTGCAGGGTTCAAAGTCAGAAAGGGAGCAGAGTTGGTCTTACGGTCTAACAGAGCACAAGTTCCTCGCTCATATCTACGCGATTAACCATTATAAATAATGCCACATGGAGCACCCTTGCAGATGAGCCTTCATTCCCTTAAGGTAAACTCCTTAAAAATTATTTCCTTAAAGAAATAAATCTGACCCAGTGAAACCACTGGGTGGGAGGCCATGGACCCTGCCAAGGTTTCAGAGGGCCCTCCAGATGTGCCAACCCCTTCCCACCAGTGGGGCCACCAGCGGGGCATGAGGACCCTCCTTGCTTCCTCAGGAGCTGCTCTAAGGAGGGAGTCGCTGGGCTGCTGTGCTACGTGGATGCACGCGTGCGTGTTCACACACGCACACACACAGCTGAGCTCCTACACTCCCCCGGCCTCCAGGGGGGAGGTAGGCTTGTTAAAGGGAACTAGAGCCACACGTGTTGGGCCCTGGGTGTGTTGTTCCGTCGACTTGAAGGGTCTCCATTCATCAGCTCAGAACGATGCCGTCAATTACGGCAGCAGAACCAGAGAGCGAGGAGGCACTTGGGGATTGTCTGTGCTATTGTCCTTGGGAGAGAGGAGCAGGATAACAAATGTGCTGGCTGATGGTTTTTCTCCCGGCAACAACTCAGGACGTGCTGGTTAGGAATAATGCAGAAGAAAGCGGCCGCTGATGCATGGACGGATCGCGGCCCGACACAGAGTGGGCTGGGCGGCTGCCGGAGCTGGCAGGGCGACATCTTTCATTGATCACCGCTACCTGAGTGGGCCTCAGTTACCTCTGTGACCGCAAGACCTGCCTGGTCCAGCGGGTCCATCGGCCCTTCCCGTATAGGCATAGTAGTGCCACGTTCTCCTCAGCACACCCTGATCCCGAGCCTCAACAATTAGGGGCACATGACACACCCATGTGTCACCAGCTCAAAAGGCAGCCTGGCACACAGGACAGTGTGGCTGTCAACACGGGGCCTCATTTCCATGGAGTGGTGGTCACCAGAGACCCATCAGCTCTCACAAGCCAGCACTGTTAAATGCCCCGCCATGCTCTGCACCACAGCCAGCATCAATTTCCCAGGCAGGTCGAGGTGGCTGGCACATGCAGAACTCATCAGAGTCCCGTGGACAAGGAGCATCCCCTGGGAACAGTTGTAGGCTTTCTGTGGACACCTCACATGCCCTCATGCCCAGAGCCCTGACCAGGCCTGCAGGCTGCTCTTCATGGGTGACGATCTAGAAGAAAGGGCTGAACAACCCTTGACCTGTGCTGTCAAGAAAGCCCACACTGATGCACAGAGCTGCCCTCCCCCTGGTAGCCCCAAGGCTTTTAAAAATGAACTGTCTTTTGGAAGTAGGATGTACTGTTGGCCAAAAATGCATTTAAAAACTTGAGTGTTTCTAAAATTTAAACATCAGGAATGATGACAGACAATACAGATTTGCAGCCACTCTTCAACAAACTGGATTATCTGGTAATAATCCAGTTTCTGGATTATTCTGGACCAGCAGTCCCACATAAGGGCTGCTCCTCTCCAGGTCCTACCCACCATGCCTTGATGTCTCTCCAAACCAAAGAGAGGTGGCAGCATCCACAGCTATGCTACCACAATGGTTTCCCTTACATCCATCCTGCCTGCAGGACACCTCCCAACATCTTCCTGGAGCCATTAGAGAGCCAGTGCACAGCTCATGTCCACCCAGGGCAGCACCCAGCCAGGTATGATCCCCAGCCTTCGCACTGTACCCTACAGCACAGACCCTCAAGGGTCTCCTGAGTGCCCCCTTCTCAGGGGAGGTTACACTCGCTCTATCTTCTTAATAATTGAACTCGGATCATCTGCAGGGAGGAGGGGAACTAGACATGTCTGCCACATCAGACTCCTGATGTGGCATTTCATACATGGTCCCAGGTGACGGCCCTGGCTTCATGCCTTCTTCCAGAGGAGACAAGTGCCAGCCACTTCCCAGAGTCAGATGGGGCTGAGCACCATACATGATGAAGCAGGCCCTGGGAACACTAGTGCCACCCAGCCCAGCTGTCTCGGTCCAGCAGTCTATACATTTTGTCAGGCTCTATTTTGAACCACAGAAAATCAAAGGTATATGGGAAACTGTGTCACCTCCACTAATGTGCCCCCAAACACCCCCTCATTCCTAATAGCACATGCAGAAGAGAAGGGCAGGGCCTCTGGGGCTGCACCCCCACTCTGCTACTCCCCTGGGCTGTGGCGCTGTGGATGAGCCTTCCACCTCTGAGCCTATGACAGGGTGAGAGCTCCTCAGGGGACAGGCTGGGGGGAGGGGACCCATGAGAACAACCCACACACTAGCACCTGAGGGCACCACCCCAGGGTGAAGCATCTGTCCAGCTGCCATCATAAGCCCTCATTTCCAACAGGAACAAGAGCAGCGACAGTCAGTCAGGGCCAAACTGATGGACAATGACAACGACGACAACACACGAAGCTCCTGAATGCAAGAGAGAATCTGTTCTCTGACCCCACTGAGGATTCGTTTAAGATTCTGCTTTATAGAGATTAAGAACAAGCTCTCGGCAAGGCTGTAATTCTACACTATCATTAAGGGCTTTCCTCTCCTGACACAAAACCTCTGCTTTACTGCATTGGGAGGCCAGTTCACCTTCTCCAGAAATCACAGTTTACATGGAGTCCAACTTTCCCCAGTCACAAAAGCACAACTGTCAGGCAATAGCTGGGGGGTTGGAGGGGGTGGCAGCCCAGAGACATTGATGGGCACCTCAGGGCCCATCCCAGGTCATCCCTCTAAGTTTCACACCAAGGAGACCTGGAAGGTCAAGGTCCCCGTAGGGCAGTAAAGTTAAGATGCAGTTTATGGTGCAGAAGGGATACACCTGCCAAAGATTCAGGAACAAAACCCAAACTAAGGATGGGCAGGCCCGGCCTCTCCAGGACTTAGAAATACAAGGCGAATGGCCTCGTTGGGAGCACACAAATTGTTCAGGCTACTTTAGGTGCCACACTCAAAGAGATCAATACATGATCACACGTGTAGTCACGGGCTCTTTCAATGCTGTGAATCAGCCCTAATGATTTGCCACTGAAATCACATGACATAAAATAAAGATGCCTTGGAAGCCCCCTCTCTTCCCACGATCCAGCCAGGCAGAAACTGGTACCCATGCTCCCATAGATGTGAGCAGTACTCCTTCCTAATGCCCTCCTGGGGGTGGTACCACGTTGTCATGGGCTGTGCCCCGGCTCTGAGCTTAGCCCTGGGCCTGAATCTGCTCTGGTGTTCACCTGTTCCCGGGCATGGGCAGGCAGGGTGTAAGAGTAATGTCTGGGCGAGATAAATGAACCCTAGTGACACACACAGGACTGTGGAGTGTGGGGTACAGGCCGGAACACAGACCCCCAGCCCACATGCACTGTGTTCACAGCTGATTGGTGGGGAGCACTTGGTAGGGGATGGGTGGGCTGGCTCCATACTGCACCCCTGGCTTTTAGTATATACCCACAGTCTCATACCTACCTAGGTAACCTGACATCACTAGGCAACCATGCTGAGAAGTGGATTAAAGTTGGGACCCCCAACTCCACCCCACTTCACAGACCTCTCCTGAGGGCGGCACCTGTGACAAGGGCCTGTGGGGAGGGCTCTTGACACTGAATGCCGTTACGACCTAGGGGCACTTAACTCAGCCCTGCCCAGAGAGGTCCTGCCCCACTTCCAGCCACTAATTCAGGGCACTGCAGGCCAAGGAGTAGGCCTGCAGAGAGGTCTGAGATACATCTCTGCCCCCCCAACTATATACAAGGGCACTGCTGAGGGGCTGGCAGCCTGGCGGTAGCATCCCCTGCCATCAGCCAGGCAGTGGTAGTGGGAGCAGAAGGGTGACAAAGCCAGAGCGGCACAGGAGCGGGAGGCTGCTGACCTCATCTGCATACTGGACGTCATCCACGGCATACTTCTGCTTGAAGTGCTCCTTGGAGTGGATCCTCAAAGAGAAGCACAAGAAACACCAGGTCAGGCTTGGCTACTGCTCTGCACAGGCCACCTTCCCGACACTAAGCCCCGGCCATGAAGCCCATGGACCATCCCGGCCCCGCTGGCCCCTGGCACTTAGTGGGTCTGCCCAGCAGAGGGCAGAGGTCAAAGGGCACGTGCCACAGAGAGACCACTGGGCCACACCTGCCTCCCTCAGCCTCCCCAGCCACCTCCCTTCCCCCTCCAGGTTCAAGCAGCTGCAGACAAACCATCTCCCTCCATCTCCACCCACGACAGCCCATGGGACAGGCAGCCAACACATCCCACTCTTTGGAGCACAACACAAGCTGCTCCCGGGCCCCCATGGAGCCTCTTTAAGGAAAGTTAAAAATTAACATTTTAAAGAAGTCAATATCAGTATTACTCACTGTGATGAGAAACACTCAGGCTTACTCACATCCCTAAAATAATCAGCCAGCGAGAGGACAGAGACGGTCGGGCTGCCCTCACCCACTACAGAAGGGCTTCATGGCTGTGCTGGGCAGGGCTCAGGCCCAGGTCCAGCAAGTGCCATCACCCCCTCCGGTCCACTGGTCAACGCTGAATCAATGTCACCACTGGGGACAGAGCTCAGAAGGGGAGGCGCACTGCCCCCCTAGTGGGGGGGGGGCTGTGTTTTGAGAGCCAAGTCAAAGGACACACACATGTGCCACCCTGCAGCGCCCCCCACCTGGCCACCGCATCAGCACAGAGGGATGCATCTCTGTCCCGCCTGCAGTGGTGTGCCTTCTAGTCCTCGGGCACAGAGCTGAAAGAGGCCCAGGAGGTAATAACAGATGGTTTCAGATTATGTATCCTGGGGTCTCAAGGGTAAGCAGATGATGGGCTTGGGGTGCCAAGGGCAGTCTTGGGGAGCCAGAGGGAATGGACAGGGAAGGGACTCAGATGCCACCTAGACCGTGAGCCCCATATCTCTGAGACAGCAATGACCAACACCACTGCCCAGGAAACAGAACCTCTCTCTGAGACACCCCCACTTCCCTGTACCCCATACCAGTGGTCCCAACTGGTGGTGACCAGAAGCACAGCGCAGGGACCCAAGGAGAAAGGGGTGGGCCTTGGAGACCAGCAGCAGCAGGGAGCTCAGGGCCAGCAGTGTGTGAGGGGGCTGGAGACACCGTGACGGCTGCCTGGTGCCCCAGACACTCTCTGCTTTCTCTCCAGTTGGCTTCTCTGAAGTGCGCGCTGGGTGTCAAGCTCTCGCCGTTAATTAAATTTACACAATCCAGTCACATTAGCTTCCACATTTGAGACCGAACTCAAAAGTTAAATGGCCAAAGTCTGGCGCCTCCATTAGTGCCGCCTAAAGCAGTTACAGGGCAGGAATTGATGCCAAGCACTCGCCTGGACGCCGGAGACTGGTTCCAGGGGGCCCAGCGGACAGCTCGTGGATCCCGCGCTACTTGGTGACAACACCCTCGGCACTGAGCTGACCCTGAGGCCAGGCACAAAAGCAGGCCAGCCTGGCAAGAGGCAGGGCCAACAACAAAATGTGTGGCTGGGTGTCACCACCAGGTCTACTCTGACTGCCCGGGCTCCAGTCCCAGCTCCAGGATGGATGCCTGCATCCCAGGCCAGCTCCTAACCTCACCTCAGGTCCCGTCCCCTCATCACCATCAGCTGTGACGGGCATCGAGAGCAAACTCTTAACAGACTTGGGGCCCTAACCCTCCCAAGCTGCCTCACCAAGAGAAAAAATACCCCAGAAATATGTTCCTGCCCTCCCCACCCCGGAGACCCGGCACCCAGGCCTCAGCAGAGATGTAGGAGACTTGAGGCGGGGGAAGGCCTCCGTGCAGTCTGAGGTGAAGGTTTGGCCAGGGTGGGACCAGAGGAGGTGACAGGACAGGGACAGGGAGAGGTAAACACAGGCAGTTGTGATCTGTGGGTAGCCCCAGAGCTCCACTCTCATCTGTACCCCCCTCGCCTGCAACCACAGCCATCCATTACATGGGAGTCTAGGAGCAGCAGGGGCCAATCCCCCCAAATGCCCTCTGCCCTCTCCAGTGGGCTGACACAGTGCAGCCAGAGTGCATGCTGGAGGCCTCAAGGGCCACATCGCCAAGCTAACCACAGGGCTAGTCTCCTGGAACCCCCAACCTGAAAAGCCATGAGCATCCCTTCAGGCACTTTGCGTTCCTCTCTTTTCAAAAGGGCAGAGATAATTAAGTTTGAGCAGTACTTATTTTTCATGTTTGGGGGCTCATTATAACAAAAATCATTTAAATGTCAGCCTAAGGGATACGCAGACCAGGCCACCTAGTCAAACCCTCCACCAGATGCATGGGGCTGACGGGAGAAAGAGCTGCATGTCTGTGTGAGCCCTGCAAACTGGCTGGAGAGGCCGCTGAGTGCTGCAAACCCACCGTCCCCTGCCAGGCCTGAGTCCAGGGTCCAGTGGGAAGCTCAGGCAAGAAATCTTCAGATGGAGACCTAAGTGGAAGCGACTGGGGAGGACGAGCCCACAGGGAAGTCTGTCCCGGGAAACCCTTCCCGTAGAAGGGACAGCTTTGGCAGGAAAGGGGAGGACGCGGTCCTCTCAAAAGGGATCGTGTCCACGAGATGGGCCAGCGTCCAGGCACCCGGTATGGGCAGGCCTGTTCCACCAGCTGCCCAGCCCCCCAAGAGTTAGAGGCCTTTCCTTGAATGCAGAGTTTGGGCTGGTGCCAGCACCCATGCGGGGCCTCCAGTGGAAGGAGATGTGACATGAAGGCCCACAGTGCAGACACGATGGAGCCCTCTAGAAAATGAAATTTCCAAGAGCAGGTCTTGCTGGCTAGCTGACCACCTGCATGTGGTTAATGAATAAGTAATAGGGCCAAATTACAGCAGTCACCATCAATTTCCGCAGCCCGAGTCTGCCTTCAGCAACAAACAACACCGCTGCCTTTCACGCCTCTTGCTGCACAGTACCCGGTCCTGCTGCCGAGCCCCAAAGTCGGCAACCATTTCAAGATTCTATTAGCTTGTCAGAGAAAAGGCGCTCTCTCTCCGAGACAAGCAGGCTTCCAGTCCTGGGGAGTGTGGCCGTAAGCGAGTCAGCCTTAGAGAGCCAGGTGCAGGGAGGATGGGGGGGAGCCCAAGAATCCAGGAGGACAGGGGATCAATAGGGGCCCCCTGGTCAGCAGAGCCCCAAAGAGGCGCCTGACTGGGGATTCTGGCAAATGCCTAGCCAGGTCTCGGGTTGCTGGGGTCAGATTCCACCCAAACCACCTGATTCAGTAGGAGCCAAAAGGAAGTTCCTCAGCCTTCTCAGGAAGGCCTGCAGCCTGGGCCTCACGCTCCCTCCCCAAAGGCAAAGGGAGCTAGGACTCAGCCACCAGACAGGCAAGGCAGTCCTGGTCCTCCAGACCCCGGTGGCTAGGAAATGCCACATGCACACCCCAAACACCACAGCACACATGCACTATAGACATCACTCCACAGACACACACAACACAGCACACACCACCCCTCCCATGCGTCCCTTACCACTGCCCCCACACACTCACACGCAACTGTTCTTGTAGCAAAAAGAGCAGAGGCTTAGGGCCCCAGGGCCTCAGCCTGAAGAAACCAGCCCACACCTCTGCTGCATAGCCTCAGTCCAAAGGAGCCCCAGGAGATAAGCATCCTTTTCTCTCCGAGCCCCAGGCCAGGCACACAGTCTCAGTTTCAAGCCTGGGTCTCAGGCAGGGGTGGTAGCAGAACACAACCAAGCTGCAAAGGTTCTGGGAGGTTCTCCCCATGTGACCCTAAGTGGCTCACCCCCGTGGCTGCAGAAGCTGCCCAAGCTGCTGAGTCATAGAGGCTATTTCCCGAGTGGAGTGCTCGGAGGACCCCAGGCGCCCCCTGTCATCAAAGGCACCACCTGACTGGAATGGAAACTCTCACATCAAAAAAAGCTCCAGACATTTCAGACTCCAAATAAAACAAATCAGAAGCAAACCACACTCCTGTCCCAGAAAAGGTCTGGGGTGAGGAGCAGGCTGAGTCCAGGCTGCCACAGGCCCCTTGGCGTCTGCAGCCCTGACAGCAGGACGGGCCGCTCACGCAGGAAATGGCAGCTCTGCAGACGGGGGTGTTGTTTCCCTGGGAGACTCTGGATTGCAGTATCTGCCAGATGGATTTTCAAAAGCCATCAGATAGACGCTCAAAAGGAAGCTGAGGAGCTGAAGGTCAAATGTTCACTCTGGTGAGTTGTGCTTGCAAAGGCCAGGTAATCCCATCGGCCTCGTTACTCAGCCCTATTGATTAGGATGTCTGGAAACAGTCACCCGCAATCAGATCTGGGCACTCCCCACCTCCAGCCCCAACAATCAACCCTTCACTGCCACCTGTTACAATCATGCCTCCTCTCCCCAAACCTCGGGACATCAGGACTTGGAGAGGGTTGAAGCAGGGCAGAGGCAGGTAAACAAGCTGGGGTGGCTGCAGCAAGGAGCCAGGCCTGCAAGAGACCAGGACCCAGCTCTCTGCTGCAGTGTCCGAACACCGCTGGAGGGACCCAGCTGCTGGGTCTGGCCTGCCCAGGTGTACATGGAGCCTTTCCAACAGGGGAGACCTGCCCGCACACCTCAAAATCACCCGAGCCTGTCCATCAGCACTAGACCATCAACTGGCTCGGCAGAGTGGGGACAGACGGAAGGATAACTTTCAGCAGAAGCTCTGAAAGCCAGCCGTGGCCAGGATGCAGGACATTATTTCTATATTATTGAAGATTATGCGCCAGAAAAGCCAGCTGTTAACAGCTGTTTCCTGACCAATCAGCTCCTGGATTTTAAATCCTTAAGTCAAGTGCCATTTGGCTTCCCAGATGGTAGCTTTGGGGAGAATTGGTGAGATTTGCTCAGATTTTCCCACCGGACAGGAGCAGCCGCAAGACAGGGACCAGGCGACCTTCCCCCAGCTGAGGACATGGAGCCTCCACCCATGGACAGGCCCCCCTCTACATAAAAAGCAGACAGAGAGCAGCACCCCCACCTTTCCAGAAGAACCCCTGGGTTAGGTCATCCACTTCAAAGGACAGATAGATCATTCATGTCCACTCCCCACCCTCCCCTCCAGGCCAGGGAAACACCCCACCAGGGAAAATACTTTCCTTCTGCTCTGCTTAAAACCGAGTCTGCATGGGCCTCCCTGGTGGCACAGCAGTTGAGCGCTGGGCTGCGAAGCTGCCCGCAGCCTCTGCAGAGCCGGTTCAATCCCCGGCAGCCGGCCAAGGGTCCCACATGGCACGCAGACCTCTCCTGCAGCTCACTGCTCCCCTCAGCAGTGTACTTCATCAATCTGCCTACTCTGTTCTCCCTCTGGCTCTGGTGAATTCTCTCACCCTCCCGTGCTTCTGACTGTACCCAGTGCTTGTATAAATAAATAAATAAATCTTTAAAAAAAAAAAAAAAAAAAAAGCCGAGTCTTTACCGCAAAGGCACAGGCCTGGAACTCGGGACGCTGCCGAACAACCTCTGAGCAGAACTGTCTCCAACTTGTGAGCCTGAGCCCGTGCCCACCCACGACACAAGAGGCACGTGCCAGGCCAACTAGGGGGCTACCAAGTGCGCACTGAAGGGGTGGGGCAGTGCAGAGAGGCTCCCTGCAGCTTCCAGGTGCCTTGTCATTCACGGAAGCCACAGACCCGCCGGCCCACTTGGCAATGAACGTCGCGGGGACCAGGCAGGTAAGGCCAAGGTTTATACATCAGCCAGGAATAATCACTCTCCGGGCTGACACGGCACCTGGAAGGTGGTGAGCCTCCAGTCACCCCAGTCGTTAAGTACAGCTTAAGTTTCAGTGGTTAAGTACAGCTCCAGTTTCAGTGCCTCTTGAGCAGGCGGGAAGGGCTCCTGGGCGGTGTGGACACAGCCGATGGCCCTGAGCCAGCAGGTGCCACAGATGACAGGGGTGGGGCCTCTCAGCATCACCCACGCCTCACATAGCACAACCCTCGGCCCTGTCTCACAGGCTGAGGGGAGACCACCTGGCGTGCCCCAGCTTGCTCAGCCCTGACTGGGCATGGAGCAAGGCCCTGACATGAGGGAAAGGCCCCAGCTCATGCTCCCTGACCTGAGCCCACCCCCAGCCCAGCTGCCTCCCATGGAGACCATGCCATTCCCTGTCCACTGGGGACAAGCCTGAAAATCCAGAACCTCAAGATTCATAAACAGCCAAACAAGCATGGCCACGTGCCGCCCTGACACTCCGCCCCGACCAAGGATGCAGGGCATGGGCCCAGAGTGGGCCATCAACAGGCCTGGCCACCAATGCTCCCTCCCCCTATCCTTCCCCCCACTTGCTGCCCATAGTCCCCACCCCCCTCCAGCCAACAGTCAGCAGGTCATACAGCCCAGACTTCTCCTTACTTTCCCATCCAGGTGGCATGGCTGGGGGGCAGCTTCGGCACGAACAGGGTGGACTTGCCGGTGTCGACATCAATCACGCCATAGCATCCTGGCTCAGTGACTCCGAACGCCCAGTGAAAGAAGGACTCCTGTGCAAGAGAAAATTGGGGGGCCAACTCAGCAGGACAAACAGGAGGCCAGGGAGGGAGGTGGGCAGTGGATCCAGCACCTTCCTTTCCCACCGGAGTCAGGGGCGGCCCACCACGGAAACTGCCCCAGCCTCTCAGCAGCCTCTACCCCGGCACCCTGCTCCTGCTCCAGCTACAGGACACACCCCTTCCTTCCATGATTTGGCAGGGGGGTAGCCTGACTTCTGATGATGATGTAGGTTTCACCATGTACTCCAGCTCCTCCCGCCCCCTCCTCTCACTGGCCACAGCCTCCAGCCCGATTGGTAGGTGGGACAGGGGCCAGCACCTCTCTGCCACCGGCAACCTGCAACTCCACGAAATGGATCCCCCATTTAGGGCTTCTTACTTCCTGCTCCCACCCCCGGGGTAGCTGGTGGCTTCAGTGTTTAGCAATAAACACTGAGCTAAGTAATGTTATAAAGGTATGAAGTGGAGGAGGATGTCTTCCAAAATTAACCTTGGATAACATCAGTAAGGGAGCCAACCGCTGAATTTAGGAAATCGGCTTTTAAACCACCAGAATATGTAAACCCCGAGAAGCTTCAAGGATAGTCAGAGAAAACTTATTTAGACCTCCATGTCTCTAGCGTGGGGACTGCAGGCTCCTGACTGCAAGATCAAGGTGGCAGAGGGAAGGGGCCTTCCCCACAGGAGGCACCTTGCATAAAAAAGGCAGGGATCTTAGCCAGTCTGTGCCCAGTGGGGGTGGTGGATGAGTCCAGCTGAGAGGCCACACCTTCCCACCTCCACTCCACCATCAGCTGCCTGCCCCCTCCCAGCCTGGTATGGGACAACCTAGCCATGTCCCCTAGACTCTGCCTGCCCCCAGGGAGCACCTGGAGTTCCCAGTGTCTGCTCCCACTCTGGGCACGGCAGGGGGGAAAAGACAGCAGTAAACTTGGACTCCGGAGGAAGGGTTTTAAATAATCCCAGCTCCACCTCTGCAAATCATTTCCCTTCTAAGCCTGTTCCCTCATCTGTACAGTGGGTGCAAGGCTAGGATGAATGACAGTGGGGCCAGCTCAGCACCTCCCTGGCTTTCTGGGTGAGCCCTTCTTCTGGGTGTCCTTGCTCTGTTTCTGGGAACTGAGGGGTGCCAGTGAGTCTCAGCCAAGCCACAACATCCAGGCTGATTTCCTGCAGTGGGACAGCCTATGGCCCCACAGGGTTCCAGAATCTCAAGGAGCCCCGAGACACCACTCCCTAAGTGAGGAAACTGAGGCCCAATAAGAATCCCAGGGTCAGCTCTGGGTTCACCTGCACCTCTTCCAGGCCAGGGAAAGATGCTCAGCCCACCCTCTGCTCATCCAGTACTGTTGTGATCCCATCCTTCCACTTAGAGCACCCAGCCCCAGTTGCACCTGTCAGGACTCACCCTGGACTTCAGGGCCCACACCAAATGCTGCCTCCTCCATGAAGCCTTGCCTGCTTATTCCCCTAGGAATATCATCTTTCCATACTGCCCCCAGTCACAGCTAGGCAGTTTCTAACCCCCCACGAGTGTGGACATTCTGGGCTTCCAAGTCCTGGCCTGCCTTCAGAGGGCTTTTCCTGGGCCCCCAGGGGTAGAAGCTGCCCAGTTCCCAGCAGATCAGGCTCACCTGGCGGAAGAGGACCCCGGTGTCGGTGCAGTAGCGCTGGGTCTCCTCCCCGCCCTGCAGCAGCACCACAGAGCCGGGCTGTGTGGCCGGGTTCTTTCGCAGACGCTCACACAGGCGCTGCCGGTTCAGGGCAAAGAGTGCCAGTGGCACCTTCAGGGTTTCATTCCCCAGGGAAAACGAAGGACTGCAAAGACACAAGCACACACCACCATGTGGGCTCTCTTTAGGCATGTCTGCCCCAGGGCCGCCATTAGCACACAGCAAGCTGGGGCCAGCTCAATCTGCTTATGACCTGCAAACAGCCCCTCGCCGGGTCCTCACCAGCTTTCCTCTCCTTTGCCAGTTGCCCTTAACCTGTCCACCGCTCTGAAAGCCAATCTGTGTTGAAGACACACTGACCTAACATAAATGGACTGAGTTTACTGGTGCTCATTGGAGAGGCTCTCCTCCACCCACCAGGGTGAACCTCATCAGGACAGAGATCTCAGTCTACTCTGGGCACTGCTGGGCACACAGCCAGTACTCAATAAATGTGAACACTGTCACAACGTGGGCCACACACAAAGTTATGCAGATCCGAAGTTGTCTCATCAGTCCCAGTGGTCAGGAAGCAGAACCAGAACCCATGGACCGGCCCTGCACACCCCACATATGCTGACAGGGCTAGATCCTTGGCCTCTGGCCTCAGGCTCGCAGGATGGTGAACACTGGGGCCCGGCTTCCTGTCCCCCCCAGGATGACCACTCACAAACATGACTGCCACCAGGAACTGAAATTACAGAAGCCAGCACCAGGCACGGATCCCCCACGCCCGAACCATATGCTTTCCCTTGCTCAGCTAAACCCATGCAGGGGGGCAGGCACAGGGAAGAACAGCCTCCAGCAGCAGAGAGGAAACCACACCACCATGGATGACGGCCTCAGCCAAAGTTGCCTGGATGTGTGCAGACCCAACAGCACCAATGGCTGGAACTGCCCTAGCTCAGGCACCGGCCTACATCTCCCGCCACACCTCTGCCCAGCTCCTCCTTAAACACACTAGTTTATGTGTGGAGGCCACCGGCCTCCACCTAGGAGGCTCTCAGAAGGGCTGGGCCTCCTCTTTTCCAGAATCTTCTGAGAGGCCTAAATCCCTCAGGTCACTCAGACTAGGGCTTTCTGGCCCAAAAGCCAATCAGCTCAGCTCAAGACAGGAAAGCTGATAAGCACCTTCTCTGTGAGCAGTCAGCTGTAACTGCAAAAAAAAAATCTATAATCTCACTTCATCCACTGGAACAGAAAAGGGCAACCCAGCCTGAGCCACCAGGCAGGCCCACATGCTGCATCACCCTTTAATAGTCATTCAGGGGCAACCGCGGAGTCAAGGTTTATAGAGATATGTCCTTTGAATTCTTGTGGCCTACAGCAAGCCCAGAGAGAAAGTTGGGCCCGGAGCCAACACAGGTGATGTCTCGCTGCAAGTTCAGCAAAAGCAACACTAATAAAACATCTCCAACTTGCTTGTGCTGAGGTTTTGTTAACTAGTACTCGGAATTTACACAGCAAAACCCAGGCCATCCCCAAGTGCCAGCACAAATAAGGCATGCTTTACTGCAGACAGCCAGGGGCACAGGCAGTGCCAAGGAAGACAGCAGGGGCGAGTGGACATCAGAGACCCACAAAACACACTCAGCTACTCAGGCCAGCACACCCCTGCCAACGATCAAGGACCACTAAGTGGCCAGGGCCATGAAAAGAGTGGCCAGGAGTGGGCCAGCCCCCAGGAAGGTGTGATGCTGCTGCCCAGAACCTGTCCTTGTCCCCCCAAATAAGGCCTGGGTCACCCACTCTGTTGTCCTCAGTGACCACCTTGGAGCTCTCACCCACAGTCCATGATCCCTGGGGATTCACCCACAGAATTTAGGGACCCCATTCACTTGGATGGGATAAAACTTTATCTTTATTTTCTCTAACCTCTCATTCAAATTTACATTTTCCTCCATTATCAGTGTAAGCCAAATTATGGCCATAGCAGTGGTGCCTGTGAGTCTGTCCCCGAGAGGAATTCCAGGCATTTTCCTATCACACCACTGCTGTGAGGGCACCCCAGAATAATCAGCACTGCTCAACACCACTTCAGAATGGAGGTGATTATTCTATCTAAACTACTATAAAATAAATAGACATAAAGCCAAGTTTATAAATCAGGTTTATAAACCAACTTGATTATAAACTTACTTTTATATAAACCAAGCATGAAATAAATAGGATATTGTTTACTATTAGCTTTTATATTATTCAATGTGTTGATAAAGGTGCATTGCTTGTTGTACCTTTTTTAACATTTTGATGCTGCACTTGAATACAATTGGCTCTCCTTCTAGTCCTCTGTGTTGCGGTTCATGCATTTGAACACCCCATTCTGAGAAGGTTGCAAAGTCTCACAGATGCCCACGGGGTCCAAGGCACAGACAAGGGCAGGACCTTTGCACTAGATGTGAAGCCACTTCTGGAGGGGTCATAAGGATGGGACTGTGTCTTCACCCTCCGCCTCCAGCTCTGGCTGGGCACTGAGCAGACCTAAGCACACACTCCACCAGCCCCTGGCAAGGCCAGCTGGCTCATCTGGCTTGGAGGGGGGCTCTTGGCAGCGGGGCACTATCTCCGGCCTTGCATCCCTCTGTCCTGATGATATTTGGGGCACTGAGTATAAGCAAAGAGGAAGAGAGGGCTGTGTGGAGTCAGGGCCAGGCCTGGAGAGAGCCAAGAAGGGCAAAGGGGCACAGACCCTCCTATCTCCACATGCCCCCCTGTACAGCAACCCCCAGGATCAGCCTGAGACCTCAGCTCCAGGAGTACAAAGTTCACATCAGGGTGGGGACAGGCTTCGATCCAAACCTTTCCACTTCAGATACTTTCTCTCTGGAAGAATGCTGACTCCAGTGTGACCAGTGACCCAAGAGGTACACATTCAGGGCAGCTCACCTGCACTTCTTGCTGGGCAAAGGCCCTGGCTGGGTAGCAGCTGTCTGGGAACCATTCAAAGACTTTAAGATATTTCTCCAACCTCCAACTCTCCCACCTACAACTCCCTTTCCTCAATCACTGAGCATCCTCCCGGAAAGCAGAGTGGTACACTGGACTAACTCAGAGTAAATGTCCCTATTCATTCAGCACCATGTCACCAAGCACCAGTCACAGGACAGTCACAGGCTGGCTCTGGATATACAAAGGATGCCAAGGATGCTAGCTCAGGGTTGCCACTGCTCCCCCAAACTGTATAGAGTAGACCCCAGAAACCCCCGCCCCAGGCTCTGGTAGAACTCTTTAAGCAACCAACCCCAACTCCAGGGAGCCGTGGCCATGAACTGATGGCACAGCATCTCATTATTCCTGGTGTTCTGATCTCTTCTAACTGTGCAGATGGGGGTGAGCTTTGCTGGAAACACACTCAAACCCGCTCCCCTTAAGGAAGCTACTGTGACTGAACCTCAGGCCTAAAGGATCCAGCAGGGCAGCCCCATACATCCTGAGATAGCGCTGGTTAAGGAGGCCCAATCAAGTTCTGCAAGCTTCCTGTATCTGTCAGGCCTCCTTTCTAACCATGCACCTCTCTGAGACTTCTGTCACTCTATTTTAAACCCCTCGGCCACCTGGAATAGATCAGGTGCCCACTAAATATTTGATTTTTATGTTCTAAGCCCTCCCAACTTTGAAGGCCAACCGAGATCCCATTTTCTGTTGCTATTCTCCCCAGTTCCCCAAATCCAGTCTACCAATTCCCAGCATTCTGATCTCAGTTCCCAACCTGGCATCCAGGCATTGACCCCAGCATCCTCAGCACCCCCAGGCCTCCACCCTTTCCCCATTATAGGCCCTTCTCCTGAACTTGAGCTCTGTGTTTGCTCCAAAAAACAGATCGGAGTAGATGAAAACCCATGAAGGACTCCAGTCCCTTAGGGCAAAGTCTGGAAAACTTTCTGGAGGGTGCCACACCCTCCAGCCCAGGGACACACCCCACTCTCTCTGTCCCCAGAATGCTCTGAACTCCCAACCTTTGTTCCTGTGTTCCCTCATCTGGAACACTCCACCTAATAAAGTTCGGTAAACTCATCTGTCCATACTCTCCACTGGGACCATTCATGCATTCTTTCCAGCAGCAGAATTAAAAAGCGCCTAGTTCACAGGTGTGCAAGATGCTGTGCTACTGAGGCCTAGGACTGAGCCAGAGAAAGGTCCTGCCCTTAAATTCTAAACCGGGAGATGACAATCAACAAGCAAAAACATAGTTTATCAGGTGATGATAAGAGCTTAAAAAGGGGTGGGGGGGATAAGTGTAGGGAAGGCTTCCCTGAAGCGGTGACATCTGGTCCCCAGAGAAAGTGGGGAAATGCCCCATTGGAGAGATTGCAAGCCCATCTCAAACACTGCCGTCCCCCCGAGAGCGCTCTGGTCCCAGGCACCCTGGCCACACCGCCTTCCCATCTAAGGATCGTAGCCGTGAACTCGCGTGTCGACCCCACCTCCCACCTCGGCAGCACAGAGCGGGGCCCACACGCGCGAGGGTGGGGCCCTGCGGACCAGTGGGCAGTGGAAATCCTAAATCGGACCGCGCAGCCCGTCGCCCGGCTCTGGGAAGCCGGATCGCGCGAGGAAGCGCGCCGCGGGTGGGCACCCAGCGAGCCCGATGGGGGCGCGGCCCGGCGCGGGAGCCGCCACCCCCTGCCCCGCCGGAAGGCCCAGGCCCCGCTCCGCGCCGCCGAACAGAGATCGGGGACAGGAGCAGCTCTCACCCGGTGGTAGTCGCCATGTTCGCCCTGCTCCCGCGTCACGTGAAGTGCACCGTCAGCTGAGCGCCGCCGGGTTCCCACTTCGGGGGCGGGGCCTGGGCGGGGCCTGGGCGGGGCCTGGCGGGGCCTGGGCGGGGCCTGGAGTCTTGCCCCGCCCCCTTCAGTCCTGGGCGCCGCCGGAGCCAGAGGGGCTAAACCTAAGAAGAACCGAGGGTCTGTCTCAGCTGGACGGCCTCTGGCTGCAGGCGAGGGGCGGCACGGTGGGTGGGGACAAAGCCCCTTTCAGGACAGGTGGGAGTGTCCCAAGGCAGCGGATACTTTGCCTCTGGTTCAAGTCCTGACCTGGCACCTCCGTGGGCGTGGGGGGCCTCTGACCCAATCAGGGGCGAGGCAGAGTTGACCGCTGTAGTTTAAGAAGGGAAAGGGCCTGAGCAAAGGCCAGAGTAATTGGAGTAATCAAAAGGTTCAGTGTTCAGGAGAGAGGGTGTGGGGGTGAGAGGTGTGGTCTTACAGGTAAGCAAGGGTCACATCCTGCAAGGCCTTGAATATGGGGCTGAGGAGTTAAGGTCTAGGTCTAGTAGGAACTTTCCAAGTTCTGTCAACTGCAGGATGGGGATGACCCTGGAGGCAGGGAAGCCAGTGAGGAGGCTTGGGGAGAAGTAGGTAGTGGAGGACACAGTTCAGGAAAGAGAATCTAGCAGTGGGTATTCCCTCTGCTCTGCTAGACACCGGGTCTTCCAGATGGGGTGTGGACAGAGAAGGGAATGGGAAGCAGAAGTTCCAGAGGAGCTCTGGAAGGGCTGTACCCCACCACCACCCCCAACTTCCAAACCTCTATCACTGGTTCTGGAAGGACTGCCCCCCCCACCTCCACCCCTCCCCATCACTGGCTTTGCCAGGGCTTACCCCCCGCATCCTCCCTATCACAGGCTCTGGTAGGGCAGCGCCCCCCACCTATACCCTCACCATCACTGGTTCTGCCAAGGATGCCCCCACCCACATCCTCCCCATCACCAGCTCCGTCAGGGGGCACCAGAAGAAGTCGCCCTGGAGTGGGAGACAACTGTGTAGTTATTCATGCAGGGCAGACCCTTGATGCTGCTGGGAGCCAGGAGGCAATTGGGGAAAGATTGATTTTAGAGAGTTGGAGCGGGAGTGTGTAAATCAGCCAAGGGAGTGCTCCAGGCAGCACACTCAGGCCTCAGGCAGCGTTGCCTGCGAGGTCACAGGCTCTTGGCTGAAACAGTCTCCATCACAGTGACCTCCAAGTGGCTGGGATGTGTCTGTCCTCAGCTGGCCCAGGAGTCCTCCTCTGAGCTTCCGTGTCTGCTGTGTCCTTGTAACACTGTGCCCTGCCCTCCTTCCCCCCAACTCCCTCACCCCCATCATCTAGCCACCACACTCGGGCAGCTCCGTGGACACTGGTGACAACTGGCTGCCTGGAGATGGCAGCCCCAAGCGTGGTGACCAGTCAGATTCAGACCACGAGTCACCCTTGGGACCTTGATGAGGTGCCTCTGAACATGGGCCCTGTCCATCGTCTGCTTCTGGCCTGCCTTCTGGGACCATGCTGGTGGTGGCCTGTTAAGGTGTTCAAAACAAGTCTCCCCAAGATGCTCAGGATAGGTCTCCCCAAGACACTCAGGACAGGGCCTTCCAAGGTGCTCAGGACAGACCTCCCCAAGATGTGCCCTTTGGCTTGTGGCTTATTTCAAGTTGAAATCAATTGAGTCCCTGCAGTCTCAAGAGAAACTTTTACCAGCCCCTTAAGACTTGGAAGAATGTAAATTGGGGATCTCACCCTGAGTTAGAGTTATTACCAGAAATAACCTTTCTGTCTGAATAGCCTGTCCATGTGGAAGGGCAGACATCTAGTCACAGAGCACCTGGTCTTCACCCCACTTCTTTCTCTCAAAAGCTGGAGACCCCTACCCCACTCCTTAGCCCAGGATATAAACCCAATTCACCTTTCCTTCCTCAGACCCCTCCTGTCCATGTGGGTGCACATGTGTGAAAGGAAATGAAATATTTTTCCTGGTGTTCATTTGTTTATTAGGTCAAGCTGAGAAGAACTGGGGGTGGGGGTGTTGGAGGGAAGGAACTTCCCAGGCCCACCTCACCCCCTGTGGGAAGCCACAGTGCCGCTCTGTAACTGGCTACGCTATGAGGGTTCAGGATCCAGAACTTGGGTCAGAGGCAAACACAGGGACCTCCAGCTTGGGGGGTGGGGTGCGGCGAGAGCAGGGGTACATGCTGCAATCCCCTCCAGTAAGTGGGGAGTTCCTGAGGAGTCTGAGTAGGAAGCTGCGGGGTCCGAGCCATCTCCTACTTGGTGTTTTTGTGATTGTTTCTGCTGAGACTAGAAAACTGGGCTCAGAAAAAAATAGACTAAAGAGAAAGAATAAAGGGTGTGGGCCATGTGAGGTGGAGGGTAGAGGCACAATCTAGGCCGACCTCTTCCGGAGTAGGAAGGAAGGAGCAGGAGGGAAGCAAAATGCCCAGGAGGCTGCCTTTCCATCACCTTCTGACAGAGCCTGGCCCTCAGCCTTTGCAATGTTGGCAGCGACAGGCATATCTGTCCCCCTCCTGTGGCCAGGGGGCTGGCTCCTTCCTCCAGACCACCCGGAGGTCATCCTACAAACCCCCACCCCCAGAGGCACACCTCTCACTCCTCCTGACCACCTCCTGAGGCCCGGTCCACCTGGGTATCCATCTTTCTGCAGAAAAGAGGCAGCAGCAGCGGAGGGACCTTCCCCAGGAAACCCCGTCACTGCCTCAGATGAAGTGGTCCCTGCTGAGTGCTTTGCTAGGGTCTACGAGGCAATTCAAGATGAGAAATGGAGCTGTGGCTTCAGCAAGGCAAATCATTCCAACAGCACCTTAAAAACATCAACGGAACACAAGCTCTTTGTGTGTGTGTGAAAATGGGGAATATATTGTTTTTCACTGTTTGGAAGACTGTTTTCTCATCTTGAAATCACAAGCTGTTTTCTTCCAGAGAGACTTATAAATACCTCCAATTATCGACATTCAATATAGGAAATAAAGTTCTGAAATGGTTTTCTTCTGTGCACGCGGAGTGGGCTGGCCAGGCTGGGCAGGTGATAATTACTTTTATTTCATCCACGTCCTATCAGTGCAGAGTGGCTGGTTTCTCTACCTTTTATTGCTTTCCCCTTTATTACATTTTCCATGTTGTGCTGGGCTATTCATTGGTGTAACTTTATTACCACATTTCAAGATCTTGATAAAAATAAATGAAATTCCTAATTTCTAAAGTGTCAGTGCAAAGTCCCAGCCAGAGGGATTTTGTTCTGTGGCTTGTGTCCTGCAGAGAAATCTCCCCAAGTAGACGGGGGCTCCCTCTGCCCGGCTCCCAATTGCTGGCTCTCTCTGACGTTCCTACCAACATCACAACTGCCCCTGTTCTGTCGGGGTGGCATTTTCAGGAGCTCACTTTCAGTAAAGCCTCTTAAAGTCACCCATAGACTGTGTCCCCAAGAGGCACCTAATCTGTTCACGCCACTGTCAAGTTGGGGATCACCGGTGAGTCCTCCCCCTCCTGCCCCTGCACCTTGCCCTTCCCCCAGCCTCTCCCTTCTGCAGCCATGCACCCCTCCAAGCGTCTGTGATTGCCAAGGTCACCTGCTACCTACCTGTCCTCATATAGTCTCTCCCATCCTGAGCACCCACACTCAACAGGGTTCCTGTAGCAGACAGTCCCTGATTCTGGCTTCTCAGGCAGAAGAGAGGTGAGTGGAGGGGTTTCATGTGGCTCATCTGAAGGACAGGGAGGCTCAGAAATTATACAGGAGCCAGACAGGCTGGTATCTGAGTGCACAATCAGACAACACCACATGCTATTTCCCAGAACCCTTGCCACAACCAATGCCCTTGAGCATAACCTTGGACAGGACCCGAAAGCCCCTGCAATACAGATGGGGCTGGAGCAAATTAAATTTGACTGGTTAAGTCAATGGAGCCTTGTGTGCCCCAAAGCCAGTGAACCCAGCCTGGGAACTTGGCCTGCACTGCCACACCTCAAAACAAGACTGTCATGGGGGTACATGAGATTATCGCCAGGTGGCCTGGATGGGTAACTGAAAGGTCACAGTCAGCTGGGACTTCACTCCCAGGCCTGGACAGACCCAAACTGAATGGCAAAGCTGAGCACAGAGCAAGAGGGATCGCAGCTCCTTCCAGAGTAAAACACCTTGTGTGGTTTGACACAGCGGCCCTGCTGGGGACACCAGTTCTCAGTCTGTCCTTGCTGAATGCCCCACCCCACCTCCAAGGACTCACCGCGACATCCTCAGAGTCTTTTTGAAAGATTCATCGCTATCCAAGAATTTGCCTCTGCTGCACTCAGACAATGCCAGGGACCCTGACTCAGGCGTCCAGTTCATCTGCAGCACTGTAGACCCATAGGGGTCTCACTCCCTTCCTCATCCTTTCTGGAAGGGAAAATCACAATTGTATTTCTAGCTCTAAGAGAGCAATACTAAGGGCGTGAGGGAGAATTTACTGAATAGCGCCTCACAATGGAAATGCCAGAGGCAGGAGCTTCTGCACACGAGGCTCCTGCAAGGAGGCATCTCATTGTGGTTTCAGGCAAGGACTCTCATGCAGCACCCCCATCCCCCGACCCCATTCCCAGCCTCTCCACTTCGGTGAGGTTTCTCCAGGTGTCTCCCCAGGGAAGCCCCAGTACCAGTGCCCATGGGGGTGGGCACCCAGGCCTTTCTCCTCAGGTGTATGGGAGAAGAAGTGACCTAGATTCTCTCCTGGGTATCAACTTGGCTTGGGGGAAAAGGAAGCCAGGACTGGGCTGAGAAGAGCTCATGGAATCTTCATGGATGTTCTCTCTACCCCAGGCTGCCTAATCAGCTGCACAGAAAACCATTTTTAGCTTTGGGTCTGGCACTCTTGGTGGACTTTCCAGGGGGAAATTGGTATTTGAAGACTAAGAGCCCTTTGCAAGGCATCCAGTCCTCTGGGGAAGGCCCGCCCAGCACAGAGACAAGCTCCAAGCTCCTCCTGTGTGGTGGTCAGAGGCAGGGAT